CGTGAGGGGGGGCAAAAACAACTATTCCCTCCCCCCAGAATTGTTCTCACATAACTTTATCACACCACCAATGTCACGTATGCGTAGTAGTGTCAGGATACGAACCCATATGAGTGTTTTTTTTCAGTGGGGGGGGGCAAGAGGGGGGTTTTATTGTTTTTTGGAAAAAAACAGGGGGGTGAAAATCACTTTTTTAATCTTTTGCGGGCACGCCCCCCTTTTTTTATTTGTATGTGACCCTTATTCTAAACAATACCGGGTAATCTAAAAACCCACACACAGTAGATCTACGATTTGTTCGAACCTCCACCCGGTGTTTTTCACCGGGTGTAGGGTCGAACAAATCGTAGATCTACTGTGTGTGTGGGTGTTTGGTTTAACTAGGTTTTGGTAAGAAACATGGGACACATACAATGACAGACAATGTGGGCGAGCCCTGCATAAATTTATAAATTGCATATTACCCCCTCTATTTTATCCAAAACATAAATTAAACCCCACTTATCCTCTCCGTCTAATATAATCGAACTGAACCATGGGTCTCGAATCTAGCATCATCAACTAGTACTTAAGATTTGGATGTTGCAAAAACATTACATGTAACAAAATTTAAGGAGAGAGAAATGTCTGTTATTGTACCCTTCATCGAGTAGTATATATGATGTAGTATGAACCTATGTTGTACGGACACTTCTAGAAGGTGAAGAGTCCCTGTATCCGACACCTAAACATTCGGACATGCCCGGACACGGCTCGGACTCCCTTGTCGGGCCGTATCATAATTTCGCTAAAAGTAGGACCCCGGCCGCGTCGAGGAGTGTCCTGAATTTTAAAAAAAGTTGGGACACGGCTCTTATGTTTTAAGAGAAAGATCTAATAAAAAATACGCATTTTAATTTCTATTTTTCTGTCTTCTTTGCAAATCCACCCAAAAGTCCAAAACTCTAGGGACAACGGCGACCAAGAACACGAGCAACAAGGGCGAGCGGTTCTCTTATGCGTGTTGGCGACTTATAAATATATTTTGACAATTTATAAATATACCCTTATATTTTTTATATTTACGCGTATCTCCGCGTGTCCGTATCCTAGTTTTTTGGAAATGCCGTATCACCGTGTTCGAGTATCCGTGTCCGTGCAGCATAGGTATGAACTAGTTTGGGGGGGGGGGGGGGGTTTGGAAAGGGTTAATGATAAAGAAGAGGGATGAATGTGCAATAAAAGAAAGATGATAAGAAAAACAGGGTGAATTGAAGACCAAACAAAGAGGCAAAGCGGTCCAGGAACGTAAGCACAAAGTTGAATGAGATGTCCGAATCAATGCCCCTCTTTAACCCGACCCAACTTCAATGCCATTCTCCTTCCAACCCGACAATGAATTCTTTTTCTCTTTTTCTTCCACTACTCTTTTATTCACTTCTTCTATTTTCCTATCTATATATCTATCTCTTTCTTTCTTTATATATTTATAAGACATACTTCATCCTCAAGATACACTTCATTATATATTCTTGCTTTTCGTTTCATACATATTTATATATAGTTGAAAAGTGCATCTTTGATTTATATATTTAATTTTGGTTGTGCTTAATTAGCTTGGAAATATTATTGTTTTTCGACAATGGAGCTAGAACTAGGGCTGGGTCTTCCGAACCAGAGTAGTAGTAGTAGTGGTCATGTGATGGTGAAAGGGCTGCAGCTTGACCTAAACTCATCTTCTTCTACTACTTATCAAAATAATCTTCCTAGGTTTCTTTATCGAGATGTTTGTTCCGATCATGATCATCAAGAAGAAGTTGAAAGCAAGGATTTGTCTTTACTCTTGTGGAGTGGCCAACCTAACCAAGAAGACGACGATCCACCCCCACACAAGTGGACAAATCTACTTCACTTAAACGACGACGTACAGTAAGACTCCATACAATCTTATGATCATGTGTTTGTTATATGTGATATATATATATATATATACATGAGGAAGATTCTATGCATATATACTTAGCTTGTGTGTATTTAGTTACATGTATGTATGTGTGTTTCATTAAGTGGTGCATGCATGATATGCGCAGGATGAATGATGATGAAGAAGATACGGAAATAGTGGGATGGCCGCCGATAAATTCAGTGAGGAAGGAGTTGCTCCACCGCAACCAGCAGCAGCGGCGGCAGCGAGTGATTAATATTATTCCGGGGGCGAGAAATAATATTAATAAGTCAATGTATGTGAAGGTGAAGATGGAGGGTGTCCCCATTGGAAGGAAAATTGATCTCAGCCTTTATCATTCTTATCTATCTTTAACCCATGCCTTTATCCACATGTTTTCTAAATGTATGTACTAGCTATATATCCAGCTGTTATATTATATATTATATATTCACATATATATATCTATATATATATATATATATATATATATATATATATATATATATATATATATATGATGATTTTAATTCAGACATATATATATATAATAAAGTATTGATTCTTGATTTTAATTTATATGCATGCAGACACAGCTTATAAAGAAGAGAATAGAGATGGGGGGGAGTATAGAATCTTGTACCAGGACAAAGATGGAGATTGGATGCTTGCAGGAGATGTCCCCTGGGAGTAAGTATATATATACTATTTATTTGGCTATGGATTAATGATTTCTAATATAAATATCAATAATTAATATCATATACTATTCTTTTTTTGATAAGAATATCATATACTATTCAATAACACAGGCCAACTCTTCTGCATTTTAATTTTTTTTCCGATGATTTTGCAGAAGATTTGTGGAATCTGTGAGACGTGTGGAGATAATACTAAGGAAAGACAACTAGCTAAGATCGATTATATTGTTGTCATAATTAATTAATTAGGTTGTGTCGTGTGTTGTTGAGGATGAATGGACAAGTCTGTACTTAAATTAAGTATTCAAGGACAAAAACCAGAACAAATTGTAGAAACAACAACTTGTTATCCTTACAATCTGTTGTAATTGTATGATTTATATATATAATTATTGTTATTGTTTCAGTAGTTAGTACTCTTCTTAATTACTATATATTATTATCTCTTGGTAGGTAATAATTCAGCTTATTACAGTGACTACACAGATTATGACAAACATTTATTTGTTTGTAAATGGCCCAATTGTACACTTTTAAAAGGCCCACTCTTTTGGGCTTCACATGTGCTGGACTCTGTCTCAGCCAATATTTACATTTTTACCATCACCGACAATTAATTGTTATTCAATCTTTTCAAATAACATTTTTTTGTTCTCAATATATATATATATATATTATCATCCAAATATCATTATATTACTACCACGACAGCATTATAAATATATAATCCAAGTATAATATTTCAACAAACATAAAAATGCCATCTATATCGAAAGAATGATTTCCAAAGTGTATTTCATATATTTTGACTGCATTATATAAATATAAAATATGATTACATAATCTTGGTTCTAGTCACAAATTTTGTGTATTTTATGAAATGATTATGTAACTATATTGAGATTTTGGATTTAATGGATCACGAATTTCTATTTATTTATTACTGACAAAATACAAAGAACAATTGATATTGTTATTACCGTAACAAGATTTAGTAGCTACTGATGTAATGTAATAAAAGAAGAAGAAGAAGAAAGAAACAACTGTAATTATCCAGCTAATACAGTTTTCAGACACTCCTAAAAATTGACCTCGGATCAAATCCAACGGTCCGTATTCTCCGCGATCCCAAATCTACCTCTTAATTCTTCCTTTTTTTCCCATTTTCAGTTCAACTTTACCTTTCTCTCCCCACAAATTCGCAGCGAATCTAGAGTCCGACGGGGAGAAAAAAAAAAAAAAAACACCGGCGTCCCATTTCAATTCCTCCATTTTCACACACTAAAACGCAATTCATCTCTCTGCCTGAATATTCTTCTCGTCCGATTCCGGATCTGTAGTCGTATTTCCATTTCTGGTTTCCGTCACTGATTTTCCGTTCGCCGGCGCCCGGATCTGAGTCGTTGATCACTTCTCCAAGGTAAATCAATTCCAATACCCGTTTTTAGTTCCTCGATTTTTCTATTAGTTTTCCGCACCAAAAGTATGAAATTTATGCATTGCTTATATTATATCAATTCCACTGTTTTTTGTCACTTGATTTGAGAATCGCCGATTCGTAATTTCATTCCAGTATTAACGGAGCTGATTTAGGGCAAAAAAAAAAAAAGAGGTCAAATTTGTAACTAATGATACAAAACGAGTAAATTGGGGGTTTTTGGAAATTGTTGATGTAGGGTGGGCGAATTGAAGCCATGGCTCTTCGAAAGGCGATCGGAGCTGTAAAAGATCAAACAAGCATAGGAATAGCCAAAGTTGCTAGCAACATGGCACCTGAGCTGGAAGTAGCCATAGTCAAAGCCACCAGCCATGATGACGACCCCGCCTCCGAGAAATATATACGCGAAATTCTCCAACTCACCACTTTTTCTCACGGCTACATCACTGCTTGTGTCATTGCCGTTTCGAAGAGATTGGGCAAAACCCGCGATTGGATTGTCGCCCTCAAGTGCCTCATGCTCATCCACCGTTTGCTCAACGAGGGTGACGCAATTTTCCAGCAGGAAATCATGTACGCTACTAGGAGGGGTACCAGGTTGTTGAACATGTCCGATTTTCGCGACGAGGCTCATTCGAATTCGTGGGATCAGTCAGCGTTCGTCCGGACGTACGCTCTGTACTTGGATCAGAGGCTCGAGTTGATGATCTACGAGCGGAAGCTGAGCTCAAACGGAGCTGAAGTCGAGAGATTCGGTGGCAGAGATGACAGGCAAAACTACCGTTCGCCTCAGGAATCGAACCGTGGTTATGACTACAACGACTCTCAGAATAACGGGATGCGTAGAGCAAGATCCTCCGGCGATGTTCGAGAGTCAACAAATGAGAGAAAAGACGTCACTCCATTGCGTGAAATGAAGCCAGATAGGATTTTTGGGAAGATGGGCCATTTGCAGAGGCTGTTGGATCGGTTTCTTTCCTGTCGGCCGACGGGCTTAGCGAAAAATGAGAGGATGGTTTTGGTGGCTCTGTATTCTATTGTGAAGGAGAGTTTCAAGCTGTATGCGGATGTTTGCGAGGTTTTGGCGGTGCTTCTTGATAAGTTCTTCGATATGGAGTACCAAGATTGCGTGAAGGCGTTCGATGCTTACGCTAGTGCTGCAAAGCAGATCGACGAGCTTATCGGATTGTACAATTGGTGCAAAGATACCGGTGTGGCTAGATCTTCTGAATATCCGGAAGTGCAGAAGATTACTAGTAAGTTGCTCGAGACTTTGGAGGAGTTTGTGAGGGATAGGTCGAAAGCAATAAAGAGTCCCGAAAGGAAATTAGAAATCCTGCCACCGCCACCTCAAGAGGAGGAGCCGGTGCAGAATATGAACGAGATTAAAGCACTGCCGGCGCCGGAGAACTATACTCCTCCACCTCCACCGCCGCCCGAGCCGGAGGCTCCTAAGCCTGTACCTCAGGAGCCTACATATTTAGTAGATTTGAGGGAGAACGCAGTTACCGCTGATGACCAAGGTAATAAATTTGCACTGGCATTATTTGCCGGACCAGCGGCACAAACTGGGAATGGCTCGTGGGAGGCTTTTCCGACAAACGGAGAACCGGAAGTGAGTTCTGCGTGGCAGAATCCGGCAGCTGAGCCTGGAAAGGCTGACTGGGAGTTGGCCCTAGTCGAGACCGCTAGCCATTTGTCTCAGCAAAAGGCGGCAATGGGCGGTGGATTGGACCCGTTATTGTTGAACGGAATGTACGACCAGGGAATGGTTAGGCAGCACGTGAGCAATTCCCAGTTGACCGGCGGCAGCGCCAGCAGTGTGGCCTTGGTGGGGCCCGGAGGAGGGAAAACTCCGGTGCTGGCACTCCCCGGACCGGAAGGTACGGTGGTGACAGCTGGACAAGACCCATTCGCTGCTTCACTGTGCGTTCCACCACCTGCTTACGTGCAGATGGCCGATATGGAGAAGAAGCAGAATTTGCTGGTGCAGGAGCAAATGGTGTGGCAGCAGTATTCGAGAGAGGGAATGCAAGGGCAAGCTAGTTTGGCGAAGATGGGTCCGGGAGGGTATTATCCTCCGGGTGTGCAGCCCATGATGCCTTATGGAATGCCGCCTGTAAATGGAGCGGGAATGCCGCCAGCAGGGTATCCATATGCTCCTTACTGATTCTTTCGGTAATTTTTTTTTTCTGTATACATTAGATTACTTGTGTTTTTTGATTGTCTTATATTACGTACACAATGTATTTTATGTGGTTTTGATTTGCAATTTTGCATGACTTGGGATGGTTATTATGTAATCCAATTATTATGTGTCTTGTGATTTGGTTTGGTGATGTTAATTTTACATTATATAAATATGAATGAACTCTTTCAATATGTGAAATAGTGTCCCATTTTTCATGGCAACTTACTAGCTAGTATATCTGATTGGTCAATATCTAAATTGTGTTTGTATGTTTGATTTTTTTTTTTTTCCGGACATGACTCACTAGATTGTACTAGGATTAGACAATGTGATGTTTAAGAAAATTTTGATGTCAGCACCGAAATTGACGTTGTCTTGCTCAAGTATGTTTTCCATTGATTTTTCTTGTGCCTTTGACCTTGAATCTTGATATTATCCAAATATCTAGATTTAGTCCAACTTAATTATTATCTGCAACTATTTGTGGACTGATATTAATATTCATAAAATTAGCTGAAATGATTTCGAACATTGTCCTAGTTATTATCACTTAACAAGACTTTTTTTTTGTCTTTTTTTTTTATATACATATATAATTTTATTATATAGCTGTGGTTTGACTAGTAACTGAGGGTGGTGGTTGTGGGGGATGAGAGTTGTTCAACTTCAACCATACAGACAGTTGTCCATCTTATACTCATTATTCACTACATACAAGAGTTGACAAGTTAATCACTTTTAAGTTTGAGTAAATTTGTTCAGGCTTGGATACTCCGAATGTGTCTGTTATTTGGATTCACTACTTGTTTCTTGTTTCTTGTTCCTTTTATTATGTGGACCAAAAAACATGATTAGACGATTTTGCCCCTTCAAAATCATTTTTGGGTGGCACACTTTCATTTCCGGCGAATGTTTTGCCTTTTAATGGTCGATGCTCCAAATAATAGAGTTTTTGGGGCACCGTTAGTTCAGGGTGTAACGTACAAAACGCGTCAAAGTTCGGTGGGCAAAATGTCATTATTCCTTGAATATATTTCTAGTTCACCCTAATAGATAAATTTGACTCCTCCATTGTGTATGTGTAATATATATCTTATGTGAATCGCATGGAAGTATACTCCATTATCATAATTTATCCAAAAAAAAAAGAAAAAAAAATAGTCCATTATGATAGAGGATAAGTTATTACAAAACTTACATAGACCAATCGACTCACACTGACTGTTCTACTTAATCCCACTAAATACATTAATCAAACAAATAACTCCACTTAGCAACATGTAATGACCAATCAAATTCAATGACTTTTACAAATGAAATTGATGAAAAAGCAAAAATAAATTAAAAGATAATAAAACATTTCTAACCTAATGCTTTACTTAATGACAGTTTAGTTGTGCACTTCAAGTAGAAAGGAGTGTGAATTAAGCAAAAGTAGCTTTTCACTTTAAAATTTAATTAGCTCCATTATTTTTCAATGCCTAACCCCATCCGACTTTTCCCCCTTTTTTCTTTCGGAAAATGGGTCTTAATGTTATAACATAAGAAATAATAGTCAATTACGGGCTCGTTCGATTACTTATATTGAATTAGATTGGATTACATGAGATTGGATTAACTCTCTACTGACTAATTAATTATTTAGTTAGTAGCATTTACGGTTTCTTTAGATTAAATTTTCTATTAAATTTGTTAAAATCAGTTAGTACATGTGAATTGTCTATAAAACCACTTAGTTTACAATAATAAAATATAATTTTAAGGATAAAATTGTATTTATCCTTTTTAGTCACCCCTATTAAATTAATCGCAGGGGTGCTACTAATTTAATAAAATAGTAGCATTTAATAGAGGACTTTGAATTTAGTAGTGTGTTTGAAAAAATGTGAATCTTACCAACCGAACATACTATTAACCTCTACTATTTAATCAGTAGAACCTTATAGCGGTAACTGAACAAGCCATAATTGTCTTTGGTCATTATTACAATTTACTGTTAAAGCAAGTCGAACGAATTATTTTATTCCTTAATTAATAATATTATATAAAAAATATATATTTTTCATCGTGATTAGCCGGACCACGAAGACGACCCCTTTGCAACAACCAAGAATACGAGGATGCCTAATATTTTATTAATTAGTTCTCTAGAATGTTTAGATCATGCTAAGCAGATGCTTAGCTAATAAATATTTTCATTTATTATTTCTTTTTGTGTATAATTTACCTTTACCTCAATTTGAAAATTTATTTAAAGTGAATAATATGAATCATTAGAACGTGGGATGCAAATCCCAAAATCGAATGAGATGTTTGCGTCCTATTATTATTATTATTATTAATTATAATTAGTTATTTTAATTATTATTATTATTATTATTATTTAATTATTATTATTATTAAAGAAAATCAGGAGTGAGATTGCATTGCATGGGTGGGTCCATAAAGCACATGGTTGTCAGTCATATGACCCAATTTAAAGCCTCCCAGTCCACCATGGAGATCCAATGTTATAACAAATCAAAATGTACTATTTGTTAAACCCGGTTCTTATACAGGTTTCCTATTTCCGGTTCAACCCCCAATTTTCCCGAGTTTTTCAATTTTCGGTTCTTAGTGTTCAACCGGACCAAATCCGTCACCACTTACTGGTTAAACCGATCCCACCAGTCGGCCCGGGCCGGGCTGGTTTAATAACATTAATTGAAACTTTAATAACATAGGGAAAAAAAAAATAGCTAATTAAAAAGAAAGGGAGGTATAGTATGTTTAAGAGGTTGGACTTTTTCTTTGGTTTAAAGTCCTTGTCCTTACAATCGTCCAACCAACGAACCCCTAATTTAATTATCTCCATTCCCCACCATCATTTATTTCCTCCTTAAATGTACATATTAATAACATTAGTAATCAAATGATCAGCTGATGCACCATATTATATTATCCGTTGTCTTATGAGATTTACCCAATCCACATATTTGTGCTTCGACTTTTTTGTTATAGAAAAAAAAAGAAAGAAAGAAAGGAAAGGGGTAGTGTTCTATATGTATGAACTGATACTATATACATAATCAATGAAACTTAACTTGTAAATGGGAATCCAAAATTGCTACATGCTCATATATAAGTATAGCATGGTAAAATACTATTTATATATTATTGATTAATCCAAATAGACCCTAAGTATGCACCAACTAAGCCTTAACTTAGTGGTATTAGGAGCATCTTCCATAGTAGTATTTTGTGAGAGGTTGGGTGTTTGAATCGTTTTGACTGCAAAAGTTGGGTATGTGCGTTGTGGCTATACTATAAGGCCAATTTTTTTATTAAAAAAAAAAAATCAGCTAATGCCCAAGAATTCTTGTGTGTATGCAAGTTGGGGACTCAATTCAATTCTATTGGTTTGAATAAAATTTCTTTACACCAAGCACGAGTCTTTAATAACTTTTAGGTGGGCTGATGTTTCTATTTGTTGACTAATTTTTCTTTCTCATCATTTATAAGTATATATATATTTATAGGGCAAATGGCAAAAAGGCCCATCACATGGGACTTAAATGCATTTAGTCCACAAAAAAAAAGTCTCTCAATTAAGCCCATTCCCATGTCTTTAGTCTAAAATACCCTCAATAATATAATTCTTAACAATTCCACCCATTATGCTCTAACTTCCTTAATATTACACATTGACCCCGGATTTAAACAAATATATCACATTAACCCCCAAAACTTTTTTTTTTCAGAAAATAATTTTTTTTCTGAAATGTTTTTTTTCCGGCCAGATTCCGGCGTTGACCGCCGAAGACCGCCGGTCTCCGGCGTTGACTTTTTTTTTTTTTTTGAAATTTTTTTGAATTTTTTTTTTTCCTGAATTTTTTTTTTCCGGCCGGTCAACCACCATTGACCGCCGGTCTCCGGCGTTGACTTTTTTTTTTTTTTTTTTTTTGTTTTTTCTTAGAAAAAAATATAAAAATATTTTAATTAA